AGGTAATTTTTCTTCAATGCCCTACATAAAATACTTGGCAGTTGAAATGACAGGAAACAGAAAAAGCTTTGAGATAATTACAAACTGCAATTTCTGACTCAAATCAAAGAGAAAACTCAGACCTGTGTTGTGATTTAACCCGGCAGGCTGCTAAGCACCACACAGCCGTTTGCTCACTCCACTCACAGTAGGATAGGGGAGAGAATCAGCAAAAAATATAAAACTCATAGTTGAGATAATGACAGTTTAATAGGACTGAGAAGGAAAATAATAATGATGATGATGATGAAAGAATATTAAAAATGAGTGATGCACAGTGCAATTGCTCACTACCCACTGACTGATACCCAGCCAGTCCCCAAGTAGTACCTCCTCCCCACACCCAATCCCTACTTTTATTGTTCAGCATGACATCCCTTCAGCCAGTCTAGGTCAGTTGTCCCTGTTCTGTCCTGTTCCAGCTCCCTCTGCATCCTTAGCTCCTTGTTGGCAGGGCAGCGTGAGGAGCTGAAATGTCCTTGGCTCTGTGTAGGCACTGCTCAGCAACAACTACAACGATGGTGGGTTATTGCCTTTGTTCTCATCCTAAATCCAAAACACAGCATCATACTGCTACTAGGAAGAAAATTAACTCTCCCAGCCAAGACTATTTCAATATCCATGCCATCTATGTCATGATCAGATCCCGCACTTTCCCATTATCATTCCCTTAGTCTATGGGCTATCCCTCTAAAATGTCCATAGAGTTTATTTAGTCTATGACTTTGGGCTCCCTCCATTACCATGGTCCTTCTGGGCAGGAGAGGTGGTGTGTGATGTTGGATTCTTGCATGCTGAAGTCAGTTCTGATTCCCATCACGACAGTTCTTTGACTGATTCCATGAAAATTAATTTTTCATTAATTTGAGTGATTCTTGTAATACTGTTGATAAGGCATATAACAACCATAGAAGTGATGAAATACAGTACTGTATAGCAATTAATGTTATATAATTCAAATTATTGGCTGTTTTCACCCATTATCAAATTTCTTTGAGGTACACACTGGACTTCACCATCCTTTTGCATTACTCACCAAATACACCCATGTCCTTGAGAAAAAGCAGTCTTACAAATGGGCTTGCCTTTGCCCTAGGCAGGAATAATCCAGACTGTCTTGCCCAGCACGTCTTCTACATGTAGCACTGGGATTTTTTCTCTTCTGCAGTATGTAAATATTTTAATTGGGCAGGGCCAGCTCTACTGACAGATCCCTAAGTGTTATCTAACTAGATAATTTTTTTGGTAAATGTGTAACCCAGTGCTTGAATGTTTCAGCACCCATTGCTCTTAGTGTAGTCTTAAACAGTCCATTGTATCATTTGATTTTCTCAGAGGCTTGTGCATGATAGGGGATTTGATATACCCACTCAAGGCCATGTTCTTTTGCCCAGGTTGTTTTGGAAATGAGTCTCATTGTTTGACATAGTTCTTTCTGGGGTGCTGTGCCATCACAGTACTTGCTTTTCAAGGCCCAGGATAGTATTTGGGCAGTGGCATGGGGCATGGGATCTGTTTCCAACTGTCTGGTTGCTTTCACTACTGCAAGCACATGGTGTTTGCCATGGTGAATTTGTGGGAGTGTGGTATAACCCACCTGCCAGGTTTCCCTATATTTATATTTCAGCCGCTGTCCTCTGTGCCAAAGAGGCTTTATCTGCTTGGCTTGATTAATCACAGCACATATTTTACATTCTTGGATAGCCTGTGCAATAGTGTCCACGGTCAAGTCCATCCCTAGATCCTGAGCCCATCTATATGTTGACAGCCTTTCTTGATGGCCTGAGGTTTCATGGGCCCACTGAACTGGAAATTATTATGTTGCCAGTCCAGATTTACGTGAGCCACTTCAATCCTAGTGGCCCAATCCACCTGCTGGTTGTCTTGATTTTCTTCAGTGGCTAAGCTTTGTGGTACATGGGCATCCATGTGATTTACTTTTACAACTGCATTCTCTACCCAGACAGCAATATCTTTCCACACTGCAGTGGCCTAGATGGGTTTGCCTCTGTGCTGCCAGTTCTTCTGCTTCCATTGCTGTTACCACCTCCAGAGGGCATCTGTTCCTATCCACGAGTAAGGTAGAAATCATGGGTTGAGATAAAGACAGTTTAATAGGACAAAAAAGGATGGGAAAATAATAATAAGAAAAAATATAAAAGCAAACAAAAAAAAGTGATGTATAACGCAGCTGCTCACCACCTGCTGACAGATACCTAGCCAGCCCCTACTAGGGGAAGAATATTAACTCAGACATAACCAGGGCAAGCTTACTGCCAAAGGATTTTCTACAAAATCTAAGAGATTTTGGATGCTAAAATACTGGGTGCTCTTCAAAATAATCAACGGAAAAGAGATTGATTACTATTAAGTCTCCACTGTTTTCTAGACCACCTTCTGTAGACTGTAACATCTCCAGGACTTTTCCATGAAGATCAGTATGTAGAAGCTGGAAATCTTGAATCATAGGCTGTACTATTTGTTAGATGCAGGTCAAGGAGAAAAAATACAGGGAAAGTCAGATAATTTAGAAACTGTAGGCTTGTCACACCTAACCTATGCTCTAGAACAAGATGCTTTAGACTGGGTGGTGATGGCTCTGCGAAATGCAGTCATGGACATGTTTTGCTAATTAAACATGACAGAAGCAGTTGTTCTCCAACCCTTCTTTATAGAATAGCAATTTTCCTAGTAAATACAGGAGAAAGAGTATCCCATCCACCCTAGGTTGGATGGGCCCTGGTCAGCCTGAGCTGGTGGAGGACAGTCCTGCTCATGGCAGGGCTTGGGGCTGGGTGGGCTCTGAGGTTCCTTCCAACCCAAGCCATTCTATGAATTCGGTGACGTGCAGTACAGGGACAATGGGAAAAACTGCAACACAGGAAGTTCCATACATACACGAGGAAGAACTTCTTTACTGTGACAGAGCACTGGAAGAACTTACTCAGAGAGGTTGGGGATTCTCCTTCTCTGGAAGTGTTCAAGACTCATCTGGATGCTTTCCTGAATGACTTGCTGTAGGGAACCTGCTTTAGCAAGGAGGTTGGAGTATTTCTGAAGAAATTTTAATGGGCGTCCATTAAGGGAATGGCTTGTGTGAAGGGTTTCTGGATGAACATATGCTGGGAGTCCTGCTACAGAACAATGGTAGATCCTTGAGCAGCATCATGAAAGCTGATAACAGGAGCTAACCCATTCTGCAGCTTCTTTCTTGTTCTTAGAACATCATATGTAGAGATCTGTTTATATGTGCATGTTTTTTATGATGCTAAACTCTCACATAAATTTACATGTATATTTATTTAAAACAATTGCTGAGATGATCTTAAGACTATTGTATGATATGCATAGTTGAAAAAAATACAGATCTGGGAAATATTCAATTTAAAGATAATAATTTAAATACAAATATCAGAAGAAACATGAATTTGGCATGTATTTTCGAAAATCCTTCTTGAATCTTTTTTAAAAAATGCATTTCACTGTGGAAGGAATTTAAGCAAATTAGGACTCCAATTCTACTCATTTTATGTTTTTGTGGGTACAATCAAAATTAATGGGATCATTCTTTTTGGTAAGTTGAATTGAACTTACTGACTGAATGTTAAAATGCATTTAAATCTGTAACACATAACTTATTCATTGAGTAGAAAGGAAAGAAGTTGGAGGCCTCTGTCTGCATTTGAGAGGAAAGTACTGGTGGCGTGGGGAGTCCAGGCAGAACATTCCTGGTCAGAAGACAGAGATCAGATTTTCATGAAATCTACAACTTTGAGGCTTCCCAGCTCCATTTGTTTTGTTTTGTTGTTGTTTTGGTTTGGTTTTTTTTTTTTTTTGATGGGAAACCAGATCAATTTTGCTGTTATAATGTGGGAGAAGATGAATGGAATGCTTTCCTCCCAGTAAAAATTCCCTCCCTCCGGTTCTCTGAAAGAGGAGCTGGTCGTGTACTTAGTAACTCAACCATTAGAATTTTCTCAGTTCATTTATAGAGGCGTGTAATTCTTTTTGGCATGGTGATCTATTTGGCTTTACTTTCATTGTTTTTCTCTCTCTTACAATTTGTACTAGGTTTGCAACCATGTACGCAGCACATTGATATGTTACAAAGATGAATGAGCTGTTATTGTTTGGGTCTCCTTCCTCCAAAGGACAGAGAAGTGCAAACCACTCCCTTTTCACGTCAGCATGCCTTAGTTTATGAGTCAACCAAAAGTCTGCAAAAAGTGAAAGATCCTAATAACCTGACCCACTGCTTTTTCTTCTTTTTCCAAGCAGCTGGCCCAATGTCAAACATGCCGCTCATGGCCCCTCCAGCAGCAAGATCAGGAGCAACTTCTGGATTGGTGCAAGAGACCAACATGATGAAGAGAAGATGAAGACTGGAGGAACCTGGTTGGTTATGCCTGCTAATTGGCCAGGGCTTGCTGTCTTCAGGACCCAGACATTTTTCAAATGAATGGAGAAATATGGTATTTAAAACTTGTATTACTGTTATTTTCTCTCATCTAGTATGAGTGTCACTGCTGATGGTCAAAGGCATGCTAGGTAACATGCTTAGTGGGGAAATATTGGTGGTAGGTGGGTGGTTGGACTGGATGATCTTGGAGGTCTTTTCCAATCTTGGTAATCCCATGATTCTATGATTCTATGCTGAAAGTAATGAGGAAGTGTGAAGCATCAGCCAGGGTGACCTGGTATCAGTGAGCCCTCTTGTGTGAGTAATTGAGGATATACTGTCTTGGAGTCAGGCTCAAGGAAGAACAAGTGAGAATTTGGCTGCCAACAGCATATCTTGTAGGAACTATCCTCAGAAAAATGTGTTTGGGCAAATGTCCTGAGACAGGCAGCTTTCAAAAAGGGATGACCTAGCTTTAAAACCCTGCGCAGTGAGTTTTGTATGCAGCACTGAAAGGAACAAGATTTTTTTTAAATATGCCATTCCTTCTTGTTTATTTCAGATGGATTTCAGAAAAATCAAGGTGCTTGTTTGCCTTGTGGGGCTCAGCTTTGCCAGCTTATGTTATTTTTACACGAATTTGACTGGACTCTCTATATTCTATGGCAAAAAACAAAAGTGTACACTACAAACATTTAGAAGAATTGAAGGAAACTTCTTGCAGCTCCCAGATATAGATTGCCGTAAGGACCCACCTTTCCTTGTACTACTTGTGGCATCCTCATGTCAAGGCATTGATGCCAGGATGGTCATCCGGCAAACCTGGGGGAAGGAGAGAACGGTGGCTGGCAAGCGTCTAGTGACGTATTTCCTCCTGGGAACCCCTGTGAATCTTGGGCAGCAGGCTGACATCGATGCTGAAAGCCAAAAATACAAAGACATTATTCAAAAGGATTTTACGGACACATACTACAATTTGACTTTAAAGACCATGATGGGAATTGAATGGGTTCACCAGTTTTGTAACCAGTCCAGCTTTGTGATGAAAACTGACACAGATGTGTTTGTCAATGTTTTTTACCTCACTGAGCTGCTTCTAAAGAAAAAGAGGACCACAGGGCTTTACACAGGCTTTCTGAAACTGCATGAGCAACCCATAAGGAAAAACGAAAGCAAGTGGAACGTGAGGATAGAAGAATACTCGGGTAAGACCTACCCGCCATTTTGTTCAGGGACTGGCTATGTTTTATCCACCGATGTTGCTAGTAAGATCTATAATGTTTCGGAGAGCATTTCATTCATCAAACTGGAGGATGTGTTCATAGGACTGTGCCTTGACAAATTAAAAATTCAGCCTGAGGAGCTTCATTCAGAACAGACATTTTTTCCAGACAAGATTCCATTCTCTGTTTCTCGGTTTAAGAAAATTGTGACTTGCCATAAAGTAAGCTTATCTGAACAGCAGAGCTACTGGAATCGTTTAGTGACAGAAGAACATGAGAAAGTGCTCTAGCACCTTCCCTGATTGAATTAACAAACTGAAATGCTTTGAATTTACAGGGCTGCTCTTGACTCCAGCAAAACTCACAGTTAATTCTACATCCATTATGTTGAAGACATTTCTTACGGTTTTAGTCCCCATTTCTGCCTCAGAGCATTGTAACATCTTTCTCTCCCATTCACTTCTACCTCTTTCCATCCCTTCTCTACATAAGCAACTTTTTTTTTTTTTTTTTCCCTTTTCCTGGAAGATGGAGGCCCACAGAGGTGCCTTCTCCATGGACTAGCTCTCAAAATCATGCTGCTACTGGACAGGGAATATTTATGTGGTGCAAAAACAAACAAACAAAAAACAACAAGGTACTTTCACTTAGAGAAACTAATTGCACCCTCTTCCCAATCTCTCTTAAGAGGTTACTGCATGTGCTTCCATCTGGACAGGCATTTAAGAAAAGTTGCTTGTAGCTATCAAGGTGTTCCCCTCCTGGCACAGGGAACTGTAGCTGTGCACTAGCAGAACTGTGTAGTGGCAGAGATCTCCCATTCAGCCAACACAGATTTTCTTTCTGAGGTGAAAGAATTTGCCCATGCAGCACTCTTGGGACAGCTTTAGGTATAGCAAGTCACTTTATTAATGTGTAAGCCTACTGAATTATTTCCTTATGCGTGCCTCCCAATGGAAATGATTGCGTGATAGAGCTGGATCCATATCACAGAATCAACCACAGACTGGTTGAGGCTGGCAGTGAGCTCTGGAGGTCATCTGGCCCTACCCTAGCTTCAGCAGGGACTCTCAGGGCTGGGTGCCCAGGCCCATGTCCAGGGAGCTTCTGAAGATCTCCAAGGAGGAGACTCTACAGCCTCTCTGGGCAACCTGTGCCAATGCTCTGTCATCTGTACATCACAGAATATCCCTTGAGCCTTCTCTTCTCCAGGCTGAACAAGTCCAGCTCTCTCAGCCTTTCCTTGTAGAAGTGATGATTCAGTCCCTTTGTCATCTCAGTGGTCTTTTGTTGGACTGTCTCCTGTATGTCCATGAGGAGCCTCAGTGAAAAGTGTCCTGGTCTTTGCATTACAATGAATGTAGGAGATATGTTTTATGTTTGTGGTTCACTTTGATGGATTGACAGCTACTGTAAATGATTGATCAAAGATAAACTACAGTCCCTTACTGTAGGGAGATAAACAGTACATCTCATTTAGACATTTTCCCTATGAGGAACTGGTTATGTATGGTGGAGAAGTTAGGAGGATTTTTCTTTTTTCTTTTTTAAACAGGACTTAGTGAGAAAATGTGTCAAAGTAATCATTCAGACTACCAATCTCATTTCTTGTTTGATTAGCAAGAAAAACTCAGAAATCTTTAGGATATTTTAAGGTTTCATAGATAAGGAATTAAGCCCTTACAGCAGATATGGTGGAAAATACATTCGGGTTCTGGGAAGGGAATCAGGAGTTCATAAAATCATGCCTTATACAGTACTCCTATTTCATTGAATTGCACACAAAGATCAGTTTTACCATCAAAGAAGTAGTAAAAATGTAAAGTTGGAACACAGTTCTTATGAGGAGCAACTGAGGGAACTGAGATTATTCAGTACTGAGAAGAGAAAGCTCAGGGGAGACCTTATCACTCCCTACGACAACCTGGAAAGAGGCTGTGGAGAGGTGGGGGTTGGCCTCTTCTCCCAGGTAGTAACAGTGATAGGATGAGAGAGAATGGCCTCAAGTTGCATGAGGGGGTGTTCAGGTTGAATATTAGGGAAAACTTATGCTCAGAAACAGAGGTGAGGCACTGGCTCAAATAAAGGTAGGGGTCTAATGGGTAATTAGGCTGGGTGAAAAAGCAAGTACTGTCAGCCTTCCTGAGACTTTCTGAGGGGGTCAGATGGAAAGACCCAGCAACAAAAACAGCAAGGAGTGATTTAGATGTTTTGGTCTTTCAGGGTTTCCATGACACTTTCTAATACAATAATTCAGAAATTCTGATACAGCATTCTGTTACTTTGGTTTTGTTTATTTTTCTTATTTCTGTTCTTTTTATTTAACTTAGTGACAATTGTGTAAGTGTCCTTTTTCACTTACCTGTGCCTGAAGAGCAGGATAAATATTTTCAGCAGGAACAAGCCCCATCCCGATAGATGTTGACAGTGCATTTTCTTCTGACATAAAGTAAATGAAAGTCATGCACTGTTTTTTGACAGCTGATAATGAAAGAATTTTATTTTTTTTTTAGAAGAATAACCTGCTCTCTTTTAAGTTGCTCATTCAGAAAATAGCCACGTGTATAGTATCAGCAGGGACATGGCTAACCAGGTGGTTGAGTGGGTAGCAAAGGAGATGTTTGCCTTCCCCTAGCACATACATCCAGGCTCAACCAACAGCATCTCCAGCTTGGAGATACATCTGCCCTTGGACTCAAAACCCTGTTATATCACATTTGATTTTGTTCCAGCTTTCAGTAGGTGCAAAGGCTTAGACTAAACAAGCCTAACAGCAGCATTTAAATCACTATTATTTCCATGTAACTTGTAGAAATGTCATTTTTCTTTGCTGTTCATTGTTTGCCATTATTGTACTCAAGGTGTAAGCTTGCTATTGTACTACTGGAATTACTGCATTCAGTTCTGAGGCTCTCAGCATAAGAAGGACATGGACCTGTGCACGGTGGTCCAGGGCAGGGACACAAGGATGCTCCTGTCCTCTGAAGTAAGGTTGATGGAGCTGGGCTTGTTCAGCCTGGAGAAGAGGATGCTCCAGAGAAACCTTATAGTGGCCTTCCAGTACCTAAAGGGGGCCTACAGGGTCTGCAGCTGAAGATAAACACTTTATCAGGGAGTGTAGTGATAGGACAAAGTGTAACAGTTTTAATGCAAAAGAGAGGATATTTATAATAGATTTAAGGAAGAAATTACTTGCTAAGAGTGTGATGAGACACTGGAATAGGCTGTCCAGAGAAGCTGGATGTCCCATCCCTAGAGGTGAGTAAATGGCCTCAACTTGTGCGAGGGGAGGTTCAGGTTGGATATTAGGAAAAAACAGAAAGAATGGTGAGGCACTGGAACAAACTGCCAAGGGAGGCAGTGAAGTCACTGTCCCTGGAAGTGTTCAAGAAATGTAAAGATGTGGCACTGAGGGACGTGGTTTAGTGGGCAATACTAGTGGTAGATGGTTGGACTGGATGATCTTTTCCAACCTTAATGATTCTGTTATTCTAAGGCTAAATTAAAGAAAAACGTTAAATACGAATGAATGATTTCATGTCTCTCTCAGTTACCAGCCTTGTAGAGTAGACAGTGCAGCTTAATGTTCACCCTGGCCTCTTCTGGCGCTCAAGAGAAATACTCTTAGAGCCCCTTCTGCATCTCTCATCCCATCTGTTCACTGCAGCATGTGCTTCACTTCCACCTCTGTGCCTGGCACCAGCTGTTAGGACCAGTCCAACCAAACTATCCCAGAGAGCCTTTGTCTAGGCAGGTGAGTTTGCTTGTTATCTTCCACTCGGTGTTGAGATTCAAGAGGGACATGACTCCTGGGATGGTGCTGCTGCTGGTCTTCCATCAGGCTAAGCTCGTGGCCAAAGGATAAAGTCTCTCATTAGGAGACAGCATTGTGGGATGTCTGCTGTTGAGCAGCATTAAAATACATCTTACTTGAACAGATTGTGGCCTTGTATCATCACAGAAATGTTACCTATGACGGCAAGCTCTGCTAGCTTTCTTGTCCATAGGTTTTATTTTAGTTCAGGAATGTCGCTAACTAACTGGGGAAGATGATGCTACTCTGTGTTAATCACATTTGCAGAAGCTATCCCTATATTTTCAGGGCTAAGTTCATTGTTACTGTGCCATTTATAATTAGGTCCTCAGGTGTGTTTAAACAAAACACTCCATTCTGGATGTTGTTTCTAGGGAGCATATTTGAAATTTCTATGAAACCTCTGCAAGATGTCTGCAAATTACTGCGTTTGTAATATTTTATCCCCTCCAAATATATGTTGTTAGGCATTTAATGGCCTGTCTAACTGAAACATTTCCCTTGCCACCACTAAGTCTGCAATAAGGAGGAAATCAGTATAGAATGAAATGTTATGGATTTAAGTAGCTTGTTCCCCTTCTTATTGCAAATTAGTTTCCAAAGTGAACACTTCAGGTTGCTGCACGTTAATTTTCTCAACATATTTTCTGATAGCTCACATAAATTAAAATTGATTTCATAATGCTTCCCATTCAATATGTGGCTTCGAATAAGAATATAATGAATAAATAAATAATTGTATAGTATGATTCTGCTGTAAAAGATGATTTAAGAAAACTAACCGGTTGCACATAAGGCAAATTTATTTGTTTATTCAAATGCAGCCACTGAGCTTGTCAGTTTATATGTATCAGCTAAATGAAACTAGCTTTTGCTGCTTAGGCCATGGATCATGGCTTTTAATACAGTCAAAACTCTTTAGTAGCCTTTTGCCAAATTATGTGTATTTTCCTATGAAAGACCACCAGAGAAAAGATTAGAAATATAACAAAGACAGCAAACAAAATACTGCAGTGTACATCTACTTATCTCTTTTTAGTTTTTTATAGATTAATACAAGAACTTAGATAAATTGTTAGCAGTTTATCTGCACAAATCTAGAATTTTCATGTTTCTTGGGAAGGAAGATCATTAAATTAATTTTTTAAGAATAGATTTAGAAAGTTACTCTGGAAAGTTACTTCAGCACTTCTCACTGAGTAACAAGGACTGCAGGAATCAACAGAGCTGTCAGTGTCTTAGAGATGGTTAAGTGCATTTCAGCATACTGTATATTTCCAACACGAGATGAGTTTTGGAACACAGAAAAATAAATACATTTTTTGCAATTCTAAGCATCAGTTAACCTAATCTCAACTTAGGTAAGGATTTTCCAATATGTCCATGAAAAATACCTGATTCAGCACTACTGAGGTGGCATTTGCCCTTCCTTTTTTTGAGAATACGGAGGAGATTTTTGCAATCAAACATTTGCCTTATGGAAAAGCCGAATGGGATACAAGGGCTAACTGTCTATCTTGGATCTGACAGGGACATTATTCTTCTTGGATGTGTGCAGGATACTGGGTAATGTTAATAAAAAAAAAAAAACGTGATAATGTTTGCATTATTTGCATAGAACCTAAGAAGGTTGATCTAACCAATGTATGATATTTTAGTAAAGTATTTTGTTACCAGAAATCTGTGTGTTAACTTTTTTTTCTGCTGTGAATGTATTATCGTTTTGATATGTAATTAAGTTAGGAGACTTGTTCTTTTTTCAGTCACAAAGGATTTTCTCCTCTTCCCTAAAATACTTATCCTAAAGTAGGTACTTCCTAAAATAGGAGTTGTTGGTTCTTCTTCCTAAGGCAAGCACCAAACTCCCATGAAAGACAAAGTGACTGAGAATGGGAGTGCTTTCCCAAGAATTAAGCATGCAGTCCTGCCACACAACTGTCTTGTCATTAACGATCTGCACAGGGTACGCTTCTAAGTCAGTGGCATCTGCAAACAAAACCTTATAAGCAGGCAGTGATTTGAAAACGGATTTTTTGTTTTCAAAATGACAAGAGCGTCAAGTGCACGGTTATTAAAACCAAAACAAAGACATGTATATGCAAGGCATATGACATCCAAGCCCAGAAAACAGACCTGTATTTTGCAGAGATTCTGGCTGAGAAAACATATTTTTCATATGTTTTTCAAAGTCTGATAAGATAGGAGTGCAAGGCTATCCTTCAACAAAGTTTGTTCAAGTATATTTTCACTGCAAAATATAATTAGACGGTTTCTTTGGTTGAGAGATCTTTTTGCCTCACATTTCACAAACTCAAAAGTCCATTATTTATGTGGAAAAAAATCCAAGTCCCATCTCCGGATCTCTGCAACTGAGCCATTTTCTGATATCCCTTGCATCTGGCTGCTGATCCATCCTGACCTTGTTTAATATATGGCTTTGAACGCAGGGTGAGAGGCACGTGTAATCAGCTTCCTATTCTTCTGTTGCCAAAAACACTTAGAAATCAGAGCCACCCTTAGAATTAGAAAACGTCAGTGTACAGCTGTAGGCGCAGAATGTCATAAATTAGTTATGTGGTGTGATTTACACCTCCAGCTTGTAGATCTTCCAGGCAGCTACATTCCCTTCATGTTTAATTTAATCGTTATTGCTGCAACAGTGATTGTAAGTAAATGTTTGACTCTGGTGCATAAATGGACCTGAAGGTCTTACATGTGCTTCTGTTAACAAAGGTGCAATGAGGGAATTAAAGAGGGAACAGAGCCTGGAGGCAGGAGTAGGAGTGAGCTGCTGTGTGTGTGAGTAGTGCAGCTTGCTCCTGCTGGGGCGAGGAGACAGGTAAGGAGTAGCACTTGGTGCTGGTGGGGAGAGCTTAGTGCTGGGGTGTGTGAAGGCACCAAAGGCTGTGCTCTCCTGGTCCCTCAATAGTGAAACACCAGCACAGGCTGCCCAAAGAGGTGGTGGAAGCCCCATCCCTGGAGATGCTCAAGGCTGGATGGGGCTCTGAGACTGATGTAGCTATAGGTGTCCCTGTTCATTGCAAGGGAGTTGGACCAGATGGCATTTAAGGGGCCCTTCCAACTCAAATGATTCTGTGATTTTGAAGGTCTTGTCCCCTTATGCTTAGGCCAAGGCCTGCATGCTTTGCAGGTATGTCATGGAACAGAACACTGATGTGGAATAAAGATGAAAAACCATGAAACCACAACAAAGTACAGCTTGAGGGGGAAGATGTCTGCTGCCAGAGACCACTGTAACAGAGTGGTATTGCCTTCTTCAGCTTTGCTGAAGAAAATCATAAATGGGGTATGGGAGAAGAGAGATTGGAAATTTCAGCCTAAAAATATGTAAATCTTCAAAATATTCTTGAAGTCTTTCAGCACTCACAGGTTTCCTCACTTTCTGAAGGATCTTGTTTTGCATATGAATGTTGAAAATTAGTGTTGGAAGGTCATAAAATATTTTACTGTAGGTAAGAGAAATCCAAAATACGGCAGTGAACACAAACATAAAGAGAAGCTGAATGTATGGAACTATCTCTGCCAGGGATTTATGTTCTCTTACTGCAAAAGAGCAGCTTTCAGTCGCAGATGTATGTATCACAGGTACAGCACATAAAAGACATGCATTTCAAAGAAAAAAAAATGTCTGTCCTTTTTGCTTTGTGATCTTAACTGATTGCACAAAGGGAGCAGTTTGATGTCAGTCATAAGGCTGTATTTCATGAAAATGCAAACAAGACACAGCTCTTCCAGTGTAGTGCTGACTTTTATGGTGATAATCTATCTCTCATCATTACAGTGTCAGTTTGGATCACGCCTGTAGGTCACTTAGGGAATATTCATTAATATTCTATTCTCAGAAGTGTAAGCGTTAACATTTCTTATAACTGGCAACCTTGTAAAATTATCAGGAAAGAAAGAGAAAGGGTATAACTTCATACTCCCCTGGCAGTTTTCTTGGCATTAACTGTGGGATGTCTCATGGGATTTGGAGCTTTGGGCTAAGCACTTGTTCATGTGTACTGCAGAAAGGTTTGTGCACCACTCAAGCTACATGTCACTGATTGATAGGTATCAAGAGCATCAGGGCTAAGGCAGCTCTGGATAGAGCTGCACTTTATCTAATCTCCTTGAAGAGTCTGGTTTTCCACAGGGAGGCAATCTGAAATCATGACCCTAAGCAATAATGAAAAGCAATAATGAAAAATGTGAGTATAGTAAGTGTACAAAATGATGCTTACATTTTCTTGGCATGCTATCATGCATTAAGAAGTTCCTTAGAACAGGCTGAATAATAATCAGGGCAATTAAGCTAACAATTTGGATCAGAGACAAGGCATTTCTAAAGCTGAAGTAAATGTTGCTAGGAGAACTGATCTATTAGAGTGCACTAAAAATTTCCTTCTCAGATTTACACTCCTCCTATCAGCACCAAAGCTGCATCTTCTTTCATTCTGTGAATAATTTACTTACTTATTGTTGCCTGGATTCTATGCTGAATGTTTTCAACTACATTTCCTGA